CCGAACGATCCTATAAACCACATTATTCATATCAGAATAGTGGTTAAAAATATAGTTACAACAAATTAATTATTATGTATCCAATGTTATAATGTGTTCATATATTATGAACTGATATTGAGAATAGTTTTAAAAACTTAAAATCAATCTAAACGCATCACTTGTTATTTGAATTAGGGGTTTAATCCATCTCCTATTAGAAATAAATATTACAATTAATTAAAAAAATTTAAAAGTATTTAATATATCCAAATTAAAATCACCTTGGTTTCATCGCAAGGCACAAACTTATACCTACACAACAGCTAAACTAACGTACACTTTAGCTTCTAAACAGTGTAACTTTTATCAAAGCAATTGTGCGAACAGGTAGAGAAGGGTAAGTATGTACTAAGTTTGAGATCAGCTAGATTTTCGGGTAGAAAACGCTCAGGCTTAAACTCCATAGGGTCAGTAAAGTCATTAAGGTCTAAATGAAATGCCCAAATGGGTATTAAAATAGGTGTGCCTTTAGGTAAATGAATGCCCTCTTAATGAGTGTCAATCGTAGTGTCTCTCAATTCTGTATATAGAATAAAGCAAATTATTCCGTTGTTATAGAATAAATAGGATAATCATTTATAATACATGTGGCAACATTGCATACCGCGTGACCGAACAGTTAACTCTCATCACTTCTTTGATAAATGCGTCCAAAAACGGCATTTTCCTGTAATTTTTCGTAATCCATACACAACTCATTGGTATTCTTGTTAGTATACAATACGTTATGAATCTCATAATACAGTTTTGTTTGATACCATGGTTTGAAAGCTTTATCATTTTAAATGTTAAAATTGTTTGCATTAAAACATACACGGTGTTCCGCAAATTTGTGAAATTCGGTAACAAGTATTTTACGTAAGAGACTGGGTTACGGCTAAACGTAGTCTGAATCCTTCGCAAAAGCTAACAATAGAATATAAATTTTTCATATAGTTTAAACATAATTTATATACATTCATAAATTGTTAGTAACTTTCAAATACCCGACAATTTTCCGTATGTTTTGTGACACGCGTTGTCTGCGATATGAAAGGGTTAACAACTTCTGACCGATCAGTCTGTCAGTAATCCCCGCATTTTCCAAAAATGTCCACTTTTTAAACAACAGACCTATTATTAACACTATCGACAATAGTATAAACAACACAACTATAATCATAATTATTTAAATATTAATGCAATCACTTTGGATTATATTATAAAATGTAATTGTAATAACTTAAACTTACTTATTAATAATATATAAATGAATTTTACTTATATACTGTCGCACACTTATTATCATAATCAGCTTTAAAAAAACATTAACGAGTTGAGCTATTTTTCAAATTGTTTTTAAATTTTTGTGTTTATTAAACAAAATATTATTTAATTTTTATATAAACTGAATTAAGCTATTTTTATTAATATTAAACTAGTTATGAGTTATTATACGTCTGACAAATCATCATCAATAACTAAAATAGTAAAATAATACAATGTTTAAATAATATAAAATTACATTTACACAATTATACATTCATAACTGCAACAATAAAATTTGTTTAAGGTGCATTTTTTTCAAAACACAATAACATTTAATAACAATAACTATTTATTATTAACATAAACAGTACGGATGTTGAACAGCCTGTTGTTTAAATTGTAAATATATGTTATCTATAGTTGGTTATAGTTGGGTTATCTATAGTTGGGTTAATAAAAAATTATTAAATTTGTACCAAGAAGTGGTGATTGTACCCGACCCCCTGATACCGAACACATTAAAAAATTTAACCTAGTTTAGTTTTTAGTCACCAGGATTAGTAAATTGTCTCACAAAAACAATGTATCAGTTTTAGGTGATGTATTATCTATCACCCATGTTAAAGTATAGCCATAGACTTAAGCTGTAATTCCATGTTAAATCCCATAGAGCGGGGGGGCGGGAGGGGAGGGGGCAAAACGATTCTATAAACCACATTATTCATACTGAATTGTGATTAAAAATTAATATTAATATAAAATACCATCATTCTTTTGTTGATAAAACCTAGAATACATGTCCGATTTTGATAATTCTTTTTTTAAATTATACACAATAATTTGCTCTAAAGATTTTGTATTGGAATCATCTCAATATTTCTTACTTAAAATTTGCCCATAGGATTAACATTACGAAAAGCTTGTCTTTGTTGAACTATAAAATCTATATTACTCATCAGATTTTAGAAATTCTTTTATAATATTATACAGGAGTATCTGCTCTAAAAATTTCCCATGGAAACCATCTCAATATTTCTTATCGTTTGGTCAATAATATGTGGTTTTGGAATTGTGCCATATTATGCATACCACGTGACCAAAATCTAAATGTGAATTTTTCAGAAGAACTAGCGTTTGTGGGGCTCTTAAATTCATTTTACAGAATTTGATTAAAGTCTTAGACTAAACACCTTATATATTTTTTGAGACGATCAGCATTTATGGTTAATATTATAGCATAGTTTTTTAGGGTGACCATACGACTTTCTTTTGGAGGTTCGCTCATTTAATATACATTTAACATGACACAGTATTAATGTAACTAATTCTGTCATATGACGTCATATAACACGTTACATTACAGTTATATGACATAAAGTGTAATATAAAATTTTTTATATATAGTGTAATATAGATCTAGCACAATTAGATTATTAATTAGGCAATTATGATATTGTAATAAAAGCTATTTTTAAAAAATTAATTGAAACACAATTAAAAGTGTGTTTCGATAATCTATTAGTAAAACAAGTGGTTTATTTTATTGTAAATTTAGCTATGATTTCTAAATAAGCATTATTTAAGCAAAATGTTTATTTTCTATATTACACTATGTGGCTTTATATGACGTTATATGACTAATATGTAATATAAAAATCTATATTACATGTATTCTACATGCGATAGCTTTCCTATCTAATAGAAAAATGCATTGCATAACATAAAATGAATTAAAAATAAAATAAATATGTTGTGAATCATCTGAAAGACTTTAAGATTTAAATTTCAACAGTTTAGAAATTCTATTACTAAAAATATTTCAATTGTTATCTATATTTTCAATTTATGCTTTCTGGTCACCCTAAGTGTCTGCTAAGTTGGTACTTGCCATAAATGACGGTCGCCTAAAAAATATATAAGGTGTTTAGTCTAAGACTTTATCTATTGTAGTATTAGCGTAATCGGCGAAACCACCTGTGCTAGATACATTGACCGGCCCTTTATATTAATATTATTTGAATATATTTATACATGTAGTTGATTAAACTTATCAACTTATTTTATTATAATTAAATCGATCATTAACTAACGTAATTTATTATAATTTTTAATTACAAACAAATCTAATTAAAACACATTGAAACGTGGCATATGTAATATTGAGACATATGTAATAACAGATAGTTATTATTTACAATATAATAAATTGCAAATTTAATTAACCTCATTTAAATAGCCGACACAATGTTGTTAAAAATATGGCCAACAGCAGTATTGTTGACCATTACAATTTGTGTGGCATTGGCGGCGGATGACCGAACAGCGCGCTCTACAAGGCGTCACCGGAACCGTAAAACGACTACCGAGAAGCCTGACATGGAAGACACAAAGTCTATAAGTGAAATGACTGGACGACCCATTTATGGAGAAAAAGTACTTAAACTCAACCGAGAAGATGCTCAAGAAAAATGCGAAGACTTTATTTGCGGAAATAGACCAGGGCTAGCGTGTGTTATTCAACGAAGATCTCCCCGTGTATGGTGTGAGGACGCCGAAAAAATATCAAAAGATCTTAAATTTGAACCTATTAAATAATGATTAGTGCCATAATAATGTTGCACTATGAGTAATTGTATAAGTTTGGATCAATAATAAATGTTTTGTACTTTTTTTACCGATACTACCAAATTTTATTTAAACTTTAAAATTATGTAATTTTTGTTTTAATTGAGTAGACAATTGTAAAAACTTGTTTTTGGGTGACTTAAAAAATATTAAATGTTTGTTATTATTAAATGTTCTTGTTAATCATTAAATATTTAATTTAAAAAAATATTTTTATAAACAGTAAATTTTTTATTAATAAAATGTGCGAAAAGTATAGTAAAGACAGTTTTAACAGATTTGGTGATGATTTGTGTCAACTCTTATTGTTTTATCTGTCATTTGAGGACCGATTCCGGTGTGAATGTGTGTCCAAACAGTGGCAGACATTGATATATAAATCTGTGGATCAGTTGGTATGCAATGACAGATATATTTTTAATGATAATGTATTGAAATGCATACTTAAAAAGTGTGAATACATAACACTTTTAAAAGTAAACTTAATTTTTTATAAAGAAATCGATTCAATGTTTTGACAAATTATTAAATATTGTAATCGTTTGAAAGCAATTGAATGCAATTTTTGTCATTCAATTAGTGAACAAACAATTGGCGAGTTTTTTGAAAAGTTTGCCAAACAATTGGTTTATATTAAGTATAATAATGACGAAGAAATGCAGTCTTTTTCAGAGACTTTTGATCGCAATTTAATGTTGTGTTCAAATGTCCAGACATTGAGCTCAACGTCAAACTCATTGCATAACGACTACAATCTATTAGATGTGATAACAAGTGATGAAAATGTAGTTTTGTTTCAAAAGTTGCAAACAATTCACTTCTATTACAAAACTTATGAAAGCAATTGTTTTGAAACATTTGTGCGAAACTATAAAAACCAATTGAAATGCGTTTACATTTAGACGACTAAATGTGATGAAAAATTAATGTCTAAACTGACCGCCGGTTTACCACAAATGCATGGATTAAGACATTTAGAGATTTATTTTGGTTTAATTAAAGACCCGTTAATCGCGACTCTAATACCCTCTCTATTGAGACAAATTGGTGTCAATTGTCGGCAAATGAAGAGACTTTCGCTTTACTCCACATCTAAAGAGATTTTTCCGGAAATAATGAAAACAATTAATGAGTGTTTCAATCAATTAAAGCATTTAACAATTATTGGAAAATTTTCATCAAGTTACAAATTAAATAACCAATCACTTGACAACTGTAAGCGGTTAACACATTTAAAACTGTATTCAACGTATTCAACGTTCACCACTTTCAGAGCATATCCAACATATGGTGCTTATGTTAATTGTATGGACAACTTCTGGCTAAATATCGGTAAATGTTTTTCTAAACTTCAATACATAAGTCTCGACGTCTGGGATATAACAGACAATACATTGATTTCATTATCAAAACTACCAAAACTGGAGTCCATTGAACTTCGGGGCGAAAAATGATTCAAAGAGCAGACCATCACATCTTTGCTGACCAAAGGATTTCCCAAAATCAAAACAATTAATATACAAACCGGTGACTATCGGACCAGTTATTTATTAAAATACAGTAGCTTAAAATATATTATTTTTATTTTAAATTATTAATTTGTTTATTTTCTAAATATATTTTTATATGTATAAACTTTTGTAATAATAATTGTTTAAATGTAATATAATTTATATTTTAATTTGCTTTAATCACAATAAACTGGTCAATAATTACTAATAATAACATGTTAAGTTTTTAGGGCTTTACAAAAAATGAGGCAGTACATAATTAGGCATGGAGCAATAGTTATAAATTCTTTTAGAATTGAGTGATATATTGTTGAGTTGCGGACAATTGACCACAAGATTTTTGAGACTCGTTTTGGTGTACTCTTCGGCGCCAATCAATTCAATTCTCTCTATAGACGGCAATCGCGACAACCATTTCAATACAGTGTCCGTTATATCGATGTTTTCAAAGCAAACGTATTGAAGTTTTGGTTGATTTCTATACATAATAGGCAACGATTGCCGTTTAAACATATCATACTTTCCTTTAAATGTTAAATGAGTTAAACGATTGCATTTGTTGAGTGAATTACTATTTA